CCTGTAGTCCCAGCTATTCAGGAGGCTGAGGCGGAAGGAACGACTAAGCCCAGGAGGTCAAGGCTACGGTGGACTGTGATTATGCCACTGCACTCCATTCTGGGAGACAGAATGCAACCCTGACTCAAAATAATAATCATAACGGTAATTTACTGGGGCCTTTTTCCCTCTTTAGTATCATGTACGGTGACCACCCTCCCCCCACAAAATGAAGATATTTAGAAAGAGCCTCTTGACTAGAAGTGATGGCTCATACTTGTAGTCCCAGAACTTTGGGATGCCAAGGTGGAAAGATCACTTGAGGCTAGGAGTTCGAGACCAGCCTAGTCACAATAGTGAGACCTCTGTCTCTACCCCCCCAAAATCATAAATTTTTTAAAAATACAAATAAAAGAGGCTTTAGTCTTCAGTCTGTCATGGTTGTCCCCGGGATGCCCATTGTCTAAACCTGTGTGGTCCATTTAAAGGCAGGTTGTTTCACAGCATCTCTGCCAAGAATGTACACTGGCATCTTTTGCTGCAGTTCTCAAGATTATGAGCTAGATGCTTAGACTACCAGTCATTAAATAACCTCTCCCTATCAGAAGTCCTGCTGCCTCCTAGAGGAATTCTGTACAGACCCTGCCACTCATGGAACTTATTACTAGCTCTCTTCTGACCCACTGCTATTCTTGGGCAATTCCACTTCCATCAACTCAGCACCTCTTCCATATTCTCCTTTGCAAGAACACTTAGCTAACTAAATTCCCCTCCCACACAAGAACAGGTAAGGTTATAAATTCCCCTCCCACACAAGAACAGGTATTTTACAACTTTGGTTTGGACCGAAAAACACAAAATTCCCAATAATTCCATGGGACAAGAAACACAGAATTTCTAAAAGAAAGGAGAACAAAGTAGCTGGGCTCAGTGGCTCAGCCTATAATCCCAGCACTTTGGGAGACTGAGGCGAGTGGATTGCCTGAGCCCATGGGTTTGAGACCAGCCCGGGCAACTTGGCGAGAACTTATCTCTACAATAAACCAAAAATTTGTCAGGTGTGGTAGCACGTGCCTGTAGTTCCGGCTACTTGGAAGGCTGAGGAGGGAGGATCGCTGGAGTCCAGGAGGCCGACACTGGGGTGGCCATGAATGTGCTACTGCACTCCAGCCTGGGTGACAGAGTAAGATTTCAACTCAAAAAAAAAAAAAGGAGAACAAAGTTATCTTTGTATCTCCTCTGCCAAAGAGTAGGAAACAAATTAATAACCTAGTAAATTTTCTTGCCATAATGTAAATTAACAAGTAAAGGATAAGTATTCAATATTGTCCTCTCTGTTTCCCATCAGAACTCAATTTACCTTCTTCATCCAGAGGTTGCAAACTCAAATACCAGGCAGATAATACAAATGAATTTAAAAGACAAGTGGAAGAAAACAAAATCATAGGCACAATGATAAACGGCAACTAGCCCTTAGTCTTGGCATTAACTATAAGAACATGGTGACAACTGCTGTGAACTAAAGAGCACATATCCACTCCAAAGGGGGCAAATGCTACTTAGCTCCAAATGGCCTTTGCAGGCAGAAAAAAACCCAGTATTGCCAGATTTTAAGTTAGAAATATTATGTACAATCTACTGATTTACAATATTGGCTACTCATTAGATTTAAAAAAAAAAACATGCTGTTGGCCAAAATGTCTGTGTCAGTGATTACATATCATTAGGTCATCTTTATGCCTTTCAATGGTTTCAGCTGCTGCATATATGCTGCTAGGTGTCAAATCTACATCTCCCACTGGCTGTGGTGGCTCATGTCTGTAATCCTAGCACTTTGGGAGGCCAATGTGAGAGGACTGCCTGAGCCCAGGGGTTCAAGACCAGCCCAGACAATTTGGCGAGATCTTGCCCATAAATAAATGAATATAAATAATTACATAAATAAATAAGCTGGGTTCTCGGTGGCCCAGCCTGTAATCCCGTGCCTTTGGGAGGCTGAGGTGAGTGGATTGCCTGAGCCCACGGGTTCGAGACCCACCTGGGCAGCGAGACCTCATCTCTACAATAAATCAAAAAATCAGCCGGGCATGGTAGCGCATGCCTGTAATTCCGGCTACTTGGAATGCTGAGGCGAAAGGATCGCCGGAGCCCAGCAGGTCGAGGCTGTGGTGGCTAGAAGCGGCCACTGCACTCCAGTCTGGGTGACAGAGTGAGACTCCAACTCAAAAAATAAATAAATTAATTAATTAATTAATTAACTGGGCATAGTAACACGCACCCGTAGTCCCAGCTACTTGGAAGGCTGAGGCAGAAGGATCACTTGAGCCCAGCAGGTCAAGGAAGGCTGTGGTGGCTGTGAGCATGCCACTGCACTATAGCCTGGGTGACAGAGTCAGACTTTGACTTAAAAAAACAAACAAAAAACTACATTTTCCCCATAGACTGCTTTCCCTAAGCTTCAGATCCATGTATCTGTCTGTTACCTAGCTTTACCTTGAAGTGCCATAGGAACCTCAAATTCAAATTCCATGTCTAATATGAAATGAATCACCTCTCCCCCAAATTGGTTCCCAGATCTGTGTTCTGTATCTCAGTTAAATAGCACCAACAAACTTTCAGTTTCCCAAGTCAGAAAACTTGGGGTCATTCTCAACTTCCTCTATCCCCAACCCCACCCCATTGGTAACCAAGTCTTATTAATTATATCTCTGGAATTCTACTTGAATGCATTATTCCTCATTCCCACCATCACTGCCTTGGTTCAGTCCTCATTTTTTGTTTTGCTTTAACTAAAGCCAGAGTCCCCTACCCTCTTGCCTCAGTCTCTTTGCCCTCATTACAGCTAAAATGTTATTTCCACTTCCCTATTTAAAAATTTTCAATGATTTCCTGGCTGGGTTCGGTGGCTCAGCCTGTAATCCCAGCACTTTGGGAGGCCAAGGTGAGTGGACTGCCTGAGCCCATGGCTTCGAGGCCCACCTGGACAACTTGACGAGACCTCATCTCTACAATAAATCAAAAATGAGCTGGGCGTGGTAGCGCACGCCTGTAGTTCCAGCTCCTTGGAAGGCTGAGATGGAAGGATTGACTGAGCCTAGCAGGTCGAAGCTGCGGTGGCCGGAAACATGCCACTGCACTCCAGTCTGGGTGACAGAGTGAGACTCCAACTAAAAAAAAAAAAAAATTTTTTTTCAATGGCTTCCCATCACCTTCATGATAAATTTCCAACTTCTTAACCTTCAGGGCCTTTGTGATCTTATCTTTCCAGGTTCATCTCCTACTGCTTCCCCTACTCCCATCCAATACTACAGCTACACTGAAATACCTTCAATTTCCATAATGGAACAAGCTTCTCTGCGCTAGCATCTTTGCACAGGCTGTTCCTACTGCTTGGATTGTCCTTCTCTCACTCCTTACACTACATCCTCATTTTTTAGTTCCCCAAACCAAGCATTAATAATCTTTTCTGAGCCGGGCTCAGTGGCTCAGCCTGTTATCCCGCGCCTTGGGAGGCTGAGGTGAGTGGATTGCCTGAGCCCGCGGGTTCAAGACCCGCCTGGGCAACTTGGTGAGACCTCATCTCTACAATAATTAAAAAATTAGCCAGGCGTGGTAGCGCGCGCCTGTAATTCCGGCTACTCGGAAGGCTGAGGCGGAAGGATTGCTGGAGCCCAGCAGGTTGTGGTTGTGGTGGCCAGGAGTGGCCACTGCACTCCAGTCTGGGCGACAGAGTGAGACTCCAACTGAAAAAAAAAAAATCTTTTCTGGGAAGCACGCCCTCAAATATCAACCCCCTGCTCCAGGCTGGTAGGTGTATTTTCTGCCCCGTAGTATCCTGTGCGTATCTCTGTTTTCATTGTCTATTACTTCAGTGTTTTCCCCCACTGAAATGAGATCTACCTACTTTAGTACAGAGACTCTGTCTTACTTCTATTATTTCAAGACTGAGCACAATAATTGATCGGTAATAGGCACTCAATAAATGTTGCATGAATGAATCAATCTAGTGCAACTCATGGTACCAATGGAGAAACCTCTCTTTTCTCAAGATCATGTGACCAATCAGTGACAGAGCACTTTCAGCTCAGCACACTTTCCACCAGACTAAGTTGGCTTTTGATCGGGAGAGGAGGGGGAAGGGGAGCGTTAAATTGTACTCGGAAGGCAGGGATTGAAGTTTGACTCTGAAAGGAAGGGTTGACATGGAACACAGTGGTGATTTTAGGGGTAAATGGAGCAAATGAAGAGGGAATGGCCAAGCACATTTGATTCATTTGTCATTCTTAACATGAATGCTTCTCAAAAAGATCTCAGGCAACCTAAAGTTAAATAAGACAGTTCACAGCTGATATGAGCATAAAAAGGAAGGGACAGATCCCATCTATTAAAGATAGAATGAAGTTTAAAATCAGAAACTTTAAAAAGAAATAACATTCGAATATAGCACACATTATGTACCAGGTGTTATTCTAATGATATACATTTATTCATTTAATCCTCAAAAATAACACTATGCATTAAGTAATAATATTATTTTACCAGGTGTAGTGGTGTGTGCTTATAAGCCCAGCTACTTGGGAGACTGAGACAGCAGGATTCCTTGAGCCCAGGAGTTTAAAATCAGCCTGAGCAACATAGTGAGTCCCCGTCTCTAGTAATAATAATAATAATAATAATAATATTCCCATTTTATAGGTGAAAAACGGAGGCACTGAATGATTAAGAGGTTTAACCGAGGTCTCACAGGTAGAAAGTGGCAAAATTAGGATTTGGATAAGGTGGTTCAAAGTTAGAATCCATGTACTTAACCACAACGCTCAAAGCATAATTCTGACCATGGTAATCAAAAGAGGATTACTTAGATTTCACTGTATGAAGCATGAGTTGTCTAATGGGAGCAATTTTATGGTATTAAATTTTCAGAGAGAGGGCTGTTAGGCCTGGGCCCACGTGGGGGATGGAATTCTTTTTTCTGTGATGCAGTGATGACCTCAGAGTAAACTGCCACTAGACTAAGAAAAATGGCATGGTTGCTAGAGGACCTGCTCGGGGTTGAGGGTGATATGGAGCTTCTCTGGAACCTATTGACCCAAGCCATGGCCTGCAGACACTGTGGCAGCAGCTGCCTCCAGAGTCCAGGGAACTTGGTGATATTATTCCTATTCATGTTTTGGCAGATCCGGAAGTGGCAGCAGCTTGGAAGTTTCCAACAGCTTCATCCCTGGTGCTCTGGGGACATGATGCTGGGCAAGGTATGTGACCTCTGACTATGGATATGCAGTTAATAACTGTTGACATCACATGCGATGTAAGGTGAGGATTCATTGACATGGATGTGAGCCCAGGTGAGTGATTAGAAGCCCTTGATGTGAGGCTGGGTGAGTGACCATTGACACCAGATGAGTGATCATTGGCCCTACAGATGTATGGTTATGTGAGGGAATGCTAATCTCCAAATGAGGATTGGGTAATGACCATTACTACTAGATGAAGAGCTGGGTAAGTGACTGATCACAGATGTGGGGCCAGGTGACTGAGTGTTCACTCTGGATGTGACGCAGAGACTAAGGGCTTCATAACAAAATTCATGTCTCTGAAAAGGCTTCATGCCTGATTGTGTATTTCTCTACTCCCCAGAGCCTACCACTTCTGTATCATGTGGCCTTCCTTGATCACCTCTGGAAGCAGAAATCAGAGACAGAGGAAGAGGAGGAGGAGGAAGAGGAGGAGGAGGAGGAGGAAGAAGAGATATCTCTGGATCCATTGAAGCCATGCTCCCCTCCCAAAGAAGCCCCCATTGAAGAGCAAGCCACCACAGCTCCAGCCCAGACATCCTGTGGTTCTGAGGACCTCCCCAAGGCCACAGGAGTACCAGAGCAAATGCTCACACAGCCCCCAAGCCCTTCCAGACTCTTCCCCACCTTCCAGATACTGACTAATTTATCTGCAAGGCACAAGATAGCATCAGAGAGCCCCTGGCAGCACAGAAAAAGCCAGCTCTTCTGGGGTCTCCCCTCTCTGCACAGTGAGTCCTTGGAGGGCATCTTCCTGAGCTCAGGTGGCTCCTCTCCCCTGAAGTTGTCTCTCTGTCCCGTCTTCTTCAACAAGTTTGCCTTCCTACCTAGGTCCAACCTATTGCTTCCCTGGTATCACTCCCCAACCCATTTTCCTACCCATGATGCCCATACTATGGAAGATATGGAAAAGGCCCCTGATCCTCAGCTACTTCCACCTCCGCCTTCTCCTTATGCCCCATCACTACCTGTTCACCTTAAAGTCTTGCCAGCAGACCACAAGGGAGTCCTGTCTGGCACTGAGGCACCCACACAGCTCCCTGGAACTAGCCCCCTGGAACTAGCCCCCTGGAAGTTCCCCCTGGATATGAGTCTCAGTTGGGAACCACAGGATATAAAGAGCCCACAAGCTTCTGGGCCTCCAATTCGACCCCCCTACCAAGTCCCATCTTCTCTGTCAGAAACAAAAAAAATCAGCCCTGAAGAAGGACTTTCTATACCTAAGGACTCCTGGGGAACCGTGGGATACAAAGAAAACCCTTGGGCCTCTGAGTCTTCAATGCCAGCCCCTTGCCCTCCTCTAGACTCCCTGCCAAAACTCCAGGGAGAAAGTCCCCTGGAATATCCACCTGGATATGAGCCCCAGTGGGGATACAGAGAAAACTCAGGAAAGCCCTGGGCCTTTGAGGCTCCAACCTTGGACCTCAACCCAGGGCTTCACGGAGCCAGCCCTGCATGTGTCCCCTCGGGATCTGAGACTTCATGGAAGGGGATGCAGAGTACAGAAAATCTTTTGGTCTCTGTAGACCCAGTTTTACCTCCCAGACTTCCCTCAGCTCCTCTGCTAGAGTCTCTAGTAATGGGCTGCCAGGGAGTCCTGTCTGGTTTCTCAGACCCTGCTCCTAGTGCACCTCTAGGCCCCCTTACAGAGCTGCCCCTTTGTAGAATCAACCCTGTGGAAGGCCTCACTGGATCAGAAACTACAGGGAAGGAGGACACTGAGCATTCCAAGAATTTCCAGGCTCCTGAGCCCCCATCTCTGGTCTTCAGCCCACCCCCAACTCTTGTACCAGAGCCCCTCAGAGTTAGCCCCATGGGGTTCCTGTTTGATTCCGAGGTTAGATGTGGGGACATACACAGGATAAAGAACTCCTGGGCCTCTAAGCTCCCAGCTTGTAGCTCACCCCAAGACCTGCTTGCTCCAGCCAGCCCCCTGGGAGTCTCACCTGACTCTGAGCCTGTGGAGGGGGACATGGAGCAGAAAGAAAACTGCTGTGTTCCTGCGTTCCCAGATTGGAGCCTTAGCCCACCCCTAAGCTATGTTTCAAAGTCCAACATAAGTGAGCCTATTGAAGACCAATGCAACTATAAGCCTGAGGGGGAAGCAGTGGAGGAGCAGAGAAAGAACTGCTGGACCTCTGAGTGTTCAGCCCCCAGCTCACTCTCTGCTCCTCTACCAGAGGATCACCACATTGACCTTGAATTTGTGTGGAGAAATGCACAACAAAGAGAAGTCCCCCAGGGCCCCAGGCCTGTAGCAGTGGATCCCCTACAGCCAGGACCCTGGCCTCCCACCCTAGCTGAAGCTGTGAGCACTGAGCCCAGCCATCCTGACCTTCTCAAGGGAGAGATGTTGCCAGGAGCTAAGGCAGAGGCCCCACCTTCCCAGAGAGATGCTGTCCCAGAGGTGCTTCCATACCCTAGGACCCATGCCTGGCACTGGAGCAGAGAGTTGAAACTCAAGCTGAAGAAACTGCATCAGAGCCCTGTTTCCAGGCCCCTTGGCCAAAGTCAACCATTTTGCAGCTCCTCTGCCCTGACCTCCACAACGCCAGACTCCTGGAGACTCTCTTCCTGCCCCCCAAAGAAGACTTATCTCCCCAACCCATGCCCCCACTCTTCAAGCTGTCACTCCCCAAAAGTTCAGTGCACAGTACTTCAGCTGGTTCGGGCATCCCACCGCCATCACTCTGAATCCTCCTCCCAGCCTCAGCCACGAGAGTCTGGCAGGGCAGAACAAAGGCCTCAGAGAGAAGAGAGAAAGAAGATGGTGGCCCAGGTCCCATCCCAAGGGACGTGTGTCCACCTGAAGGCTGATGAGAACTATCAAGGCCCGGCAGAGTCTTCAAACCCTGGGATTCTGGCCTCAGGCAAGAGACTGGACAGGGCTTCAGCCCTATCTTCAGCCAAGAGAGAAAGCCCCAGGAAACCCAAAGCAGGAGACCATGAAGAAGGGAATGCAAGACTGGCATCATTCTCTGTCACAGGGAAGAGCCATCCTGCCCAGGCGCAAAGACTGGGGGACCCTGTAAGCAGACTTTCCCCAAGTTCTTGGCACAGGGCCCAGAGCGCTCAACAAACTGCTCTTCCCCAGCAGCTCCTCCCCAAGACTTCAGGTCTCCAGGATCAGCCAGGGCCAGGGCTGGGAGTTGGTGACATCCTTAACCCTCGCCACTGTAAGCACTGTCCTTGGGCCCACATGGAGAAACATCTCTCCTCCCCTACAACCAAGGCTCCCCCTATCGGGAGTCTCCAAAAGGTATTGACCACATTTCTGGGTAAACCATGGAATCTGTCTACTAAATCTAGTCAGTAGAGGAAAAGGTTGGCAGAATTGGCACTTAGTGCTCCAAGACCTGACGCCAAACTAGGTAGAGTGTGGGAAGATGGGGAGACAAGCAGAAGAAATCCTAATAAACTAGTTGAACTACACAAATCCCACTCATGTCTTCTTTGGAATTCAGGGTACTGGGAATGTCAGTTCCAAATAAACTTCTGCTGCAGCCATATTTCCTCATGATCAGGTACTAGAAGTAGAGAGTTCAGGATTCTGCAGGCATCATTTTCTTTTACAGATGATAACATACAGAGTTCACACATCCCTATATTCTACAGGGTGAGGCTGTAGGGCCAGGGGAGCACAGCCCAAAGATGCCCTGGAGAGAAACTTTATAGCATGTGGACAGAAAAAATACATTCATTCACATGAGCACAACTAGTCTGGGTCTAGACAGGTGTTCTTGGGCTTGGGTATGAACGCCCTCTTCTTCACCTCCTTGACCCACAAGTTCCCCACATATCTTTCCTACCATTTCTTCTCCACTCTGCTCTTTTTTTCTCCCTTGGTCAGCTAATCCATCCCCAAGACCATAAAAGAAGTGCCTTTTCATATGTTTAGTAAGTATCTGGATTTCTTCTCTAATTGCCAGTTCATATCCTTTACTCATCTCTCCCTTCTTTCCTTCCCTCCCTCCCTCCCTTCCTCTCCAGAGACAAGGGACTCACTCTGTTGCCCAGACTGATCTCAAACTCCTGGTCCCAACTGATCCTTCCTCCTCAGCCTCCCAAAGTGTTAGGATTACAAGTGTGAGTCACCACACCAGCCCCTTTACTTACTAGTTTTCTATGGTGGCTGTAACAAATTATCAGAAACATAAATTTATTTCGTCAGAAGTCTGACAGTGTTGTCTCACAGGGCTACTAAAATCAGGGAGTTGGCAGGGTTACATTCCTTTACCTATAGAGGTTCTGGGTAGGACTCACTCCTTGCCTCTCCCAGTTTCTAGAGGCAGCCCACATTCCTTAGCTACTGGCCCCCTTCCTCCGTCTTCAAAGGCAAGTTCTTCTCATGTCGCATCACTCTGATCTCTTTTGCCTCCCTCTTCCACTTTTAAGGATCCTAGTGCTTGCAATGGGTTCAACTGGATAATTCAGGACACTCTTCCGATTTTAAAGTCAGTTGAGTAGTGACCTTAATTCTCCTTTTCCATGTAAAATAATATATGTACAGGTTTTAGAGATTAGGATGTGAACACTTCAGGGACCATTATCCTGCCTACCAGAGATATTAACTCAACCTATTATGCATACTTACTACGTAAGTTTTTTACGTAGTTAATCTACTAACATTTTACTTTATGACTTATTTTTCCTTTTTTTAAGTCAGGGTCTCACTCTGCTGCCCAGGCTGAAGTGCTGTGGCACAATCATGGCTCACCAGTCTTGAACTCCTGGGCTCAGGTGGTCCTTCCGCCTGAGCCTCCCAAGTAGCTGAGACTACAGGTATGAGTTACCATGCCTGGATAATTTTTTCACTTTTTGTAGAGACAAGGTCTCACCATGTTGCCTAGGTTGGTCTCGAACTCATGGGCTCAAACGATCCTCCCACTTCAGCTTCCCAAAATGCTGGGATTACAGGTATGAGCCATCACACCTGGCCTACTTTATGACTTTTTTTTTTTTCCTTTTTGAGAGTCTCATTTCTGTTGCCCAGGCTAGAGTGCAATGGCATGCTCACAGCCACTGCAGTCTTGACCTGCAGGGCTCAGGTGATCCTTCTGCCTCAACCTTCCAAGTAGCTGGAACTACAGGCATGCACCACCTTGCCCAGCTAATTTTTTGATTTATTGTAGAGATGAGGTCTTATCAAGTTGCCCAGGCTTGTCTCGAACCCATGGGCTCAGGCAATCCTCACACCTCGGCCTCCCAAAGTGCTGGGATTATAGGTGTGAGCCACCATGCCTGGCCTCTTTATGACTTCTAAAACACTTTCTTTGGGTACTTTTATAGTCTTGCGTATTTATGTTTAGATTGCCAATTTTTATATGAGGTGAGACTCTAACTTCTTCCCCAATGACATTCAATTTCCCAATACCATTTTTATAGAATTAATGTCGAGTCCATTCAATATGCCATATTGCAAAACATTTTTAAACATCTCTAGGCTTCAGATTCACATATCCAACAGCCTACTAGACAGCATCTCATATTCACCTTGTCAAAAATTTGTCAAAAAAATACTCATTTTCTCTTTAACCTTTTCCTCCAATGTGCCCATTCTTACTGAAAGGCATCACATCCACCTAAATACCTAAGCCAGAAGCCTGACTCCTCCCCAATCTGTCATCAAACTTTTATGTCAATTATACCTGTAAAATGTATTTCAAATCCATCTTCACCTCTCCATCTCCACCATCACTGTTGTCATAGTCTAGTCATCACTTTTCCCTAAATTGGTTGCCTTGTTTCTTCTAATCCATTGTGCAAATGGCTACAATTTTCTGGAATTCAACTGCCCCAATCTTTCACAAGTGTCATAAATGTTTGCATAAAAGGCCAGGTGCAGTGGCATGTGGCTGTAGTCCCAAGCTACTAAGGAGGCTGAAGCAGGAGGACCACTTGAGCCCAAGAATTGTGGGCTGTAGTGTGTTATGCTGATTAGGAATCCACACCAAGTATGGCACCAACATGGTGACCTTCCAGAAGTGGAAGACCAACAGGTTGCCTAAGAGGCGAATCAGCCTAGGTCAAAACCCCTGTGCTGATCAGTAGTGGGAATGCAACTGTGAACAGCCTCTACACTCCAGCCTTGGGGAAAAAAAAGTTTCAGTGAAAGAACCTAACAGATGCCAAGCTGTGGTCCTAGACTGGATACTGGTCAAAATAGCTGTGTATGTCATTATTTGGGGCACTTGGGGAAAACTCTGAATATGTTATAGCCACTTAAATTGTTTCTTGACCTTTTAAGATAGAGTCTTGCTCTGTCACCCAGTGTAGTGGCATTATCACAGCTCACTGGTCTTCAACTCCTGGGCTCAAGCAATCCCCCTGTTTTAGCCTCCCTGTGTAGGTCCCAAGTAGCTGGGACTACAGCAGCAAGCCACTGCACTTGGTTTGCCTCCATCTTTGTAATAATTGTAAAAAGAATGTCCCTATATATTAATATAAATGTTTTTTATGAAACAAAGTTTCACTACGTTGCCCAGGCTGGTCTCAAACTCCTGGTTTCAAGTAGTCCTCCCACTTTGGCATCCCAAAACAATAGAATTGCTTGATATGAACCCCCCAAAAAGTTAAAGTGAAAGGTGGAGATTATTGACCAAATAATTAAGGAGTGTGATTTCAATTTGGTTTTTAAAACACATGTATAGACACAAATTTACATACACACATAGAAAAAGATTCAGAAACATATGAACTAAAGTTAGTAAGATGTGACCTCTGGTTACTGGAAATACTAATTATAAAAATTATGATTATATTTCTCTAAATTTTCACAATGCACATTACTGCATCTATAAAAAATGGCTAAAGCGAATAGTCTAAGAGTACATAACAATGTTCATGTATGGTTGATAACACTGAAATGTCATTTCACTGCCTGATTCCTCCAGAGGACCCACACCTGTAGGATAAAGTTCTGTCCTGGCATTTGGGGTTCTTCACATGGTTTTTGACCTCTTGAAATTCACCTCCATACTCCCTTGCTAGTCTATCTTGTGCTTCATAAACAAGACCTGTATTTATGACCTGTACTTTGCTCAAACTGCTCTCTTACTTCTCCATGTCAATAGATTCCCACGTGTCCTTAAGGTTCAGTTCACACTACCTCTCTAGCCTTTTCAGATTTTACTACCTTGTTATGATTTCCCCTTCCTTGCAGCCCCATTAACACTGTGCATGCCTTGCAGATGGAACCCGTTTCCAGATAGTATGACTTTGAAAGTTAGGTTCCATGAGATCAAGTCCAAATTCTCAGCCCAGTTCTTCTTCCACTCTATCATATCATATTCCCCTCTAGTTGTACATTTGGTTGAGAAAACCATGCAGTTAGAAGGTACATGCTGTTCCTCTGCTTCCTCTCAACTAATGTCACTGTTCTGTTCCAAAACTTTCAGCCAAAACCTGCCTATAAGTGACTGAGTCCAAAACTCACCACCTACTGGCCAAGGGTGGAACTGAAGGTACTTTACCTCTCCCACTACTGTGGTCTCAATGACAACACATTTCTACTCTACATGGAAACATTTAAGTCTATGCTCTTCTGCACAGATTTATGAAAAATGAAACTCTTATACTAAGTGTATTAAGACTCTTAGTAGGCTGTAGGTATAGACAAGGGTTAACAAACCACTTGACAATTGCCACAGTTCAGTTGAATTAATGACTGACAGACCTGTGTTCTTTATGCATCGTGTGTCCAATGGACTCTCAGGGCAATCTGTAGGATCAGTATCAGATCCAAATATATCTAAAGATACAAGGTTTACAATTCCACCTTTGCCTCTGCCTTTATGGCACATTCTTGGTCCTCTATTTGATGCCATATTCTTAGTCAGAAACCCATCCTCTAATAACAGTGCTTACTCTATGCAAAGTGATTAGGTGCAGTAAGAACTCAGTTCAATTTCTTTCTGGGAACCCTGGACATTGGGGGAAGATGGACTGCCTATACAATTTGCCTCTTGGTGTAAATATGCAGGTTTCTGCAGTTATGAAGTATTTTCAATCATATTATTAGATTAAGGAACCTCAGGTCCCTAAAGAGCTAAGCAACTGGGTGCGGTGGCTCAAGCCTATAATTTCAGCATTTTGGGAGGCAGAGACGAAAGGATTGCCTGAGCCCAGGGGTTCTGAGCAACTTGGTGAGGACCACCCCCCCGTCTCTACAATAAATCAAAAAATTAGTTGGGCGTGGCGGTGCACACCTGTAGTTCCAGCTACTTGGAAGGCTTGCCTGAGCCCAGCAGGTGAAGGCTGCGGTGGTCGTGTGTCACTGCACTCCAGCCTGGGCAAGAGTGACACTCCAACTCAAAA